TAACAGTAACAAAGCATTGTGTATTATTATATATTTTCAGAAAAGGGTTCTGGTGGAGATTTTAGAAATTTGTTAGTTGAATTCCTGAGTCCATTAAAGTTAAACCACCAGGGAAAACCTGGAAGCACTGGACGGCTATTTCGTCCTAGTATGGGACTCCACAGCAGTGCACATCCATTATCTCGCCCATGGAATTGTTTACTTCCCTTGAGATATTATCGATAAGAAACAAACAAACTCAGTAATACTTTAGTGACCACTTTTCATGATAATATATCAGTGAAATGCATTATTATCATTTCAAACGATAAGTATGGTGGTGACCATATTAATAATTTGTTTTTTACTTAACAAAATAATTGTCTATATTTAATAGTATTAGATCTATAATTTAAAGCCTTGTGTTTATTTTTTGTATTTAGCAGAAGTAAGTATATGTGACTCATTATTAAGTAAATTGTTTCCTGATATCATTATAAACCAAAAAAATGTTTATTTATTACATGTCCTAAAACTAAATTTATAAATAATTTTTTATTTTTTATTTTTTTGATTCATTAGCTTTTCTGCTTAATGTACCAGTATTTGGAGACGGTGTTTGAATACAGAGTCAATCACTGATTAGTCATATTGATCATATAAAATAATGAACATAATTTGATATTCATTTAGGAAATAGCTGGGGGATTTAATATTTCCAAAGCTATTTTTTTAGTAGAAAAAGTATCACTAAGATTTAAAGAACTGTTCAGTCAGTTAGTCAGTCAGCTACAACGTAGAACCAGGCGCATACGTACATCGGTCCAAGCTGCCATACCTCATTAACACAACAAGATGGACACCGGATTCATAAAAGTAGTTAATTCAGTTGTGGTAATATATAAAAGAAAGATTCCATATGAGGATATAGTACAAGAAGAAAGAATTAGTTCGTAGAAAGAAAGATATGAAGCGATTTTAATCCCTTAGTTTAAGGGAAGGCAGAGAGTGTATACACCGACGCCAATGTGATCGATTCTGAGCTATGTCACCCAGAGTCTCCAACCATTGGTTACGATAATCACACGGACCCCAACCAAGTAGTCTGAATCTACCAACATAGCTCAAACTAGAAATTAGTGACTTCAAGCACTGGTGCCGCGTTTTGGTTTTGCCGCCCCTAACTTTCTTCCAACCATCCCCAACACTAGTCAGCATTGTGCGTCACGGTAATCGGTGTTCAGGTATACGCAACACGTGGCCCAAGAATCCCAGTCGATGAAGATTCACTGTTCAGTACTATTTTGGGATATTTATGCTCAAAAATTCTTTAGTTTATATTTTCTTATTTGAATAGAGTGTACAAAATTTACCTACTGTTGAATTCCAACTATTTAAATAACGTTAATTTTTTAAAGTTAAATATGAAAACTCTGGGTATGCATAGCTCTGTGAGATGTTACGTCATTGATAAACAAGCAAAAATAATAGTACTGAGTATAAACAATTAGGAACAATAATAACAATAATAGTTTTTTAATGTTTATGGGGTTTGCATATGGTAATTTATGCTCGTAAAAAATAACAAATTCATATTTCTCGAGCTGAATAATACACTTAACATCTATCATAGTTCATCTGCTAGTAACATTCTGATATGGTTTATGTCACTAAAGTATATGAGTAATTTATTTTAGTTCGATTAAATTCAGGAGATTTCTTCCATTTGGCTAATAATTAATTTTAATTGGTTGTTGTTATAACTTGTGGTCTGTGTGCCCTGTTAATGTATAACGTAATGATACCGTCAACTAGAGAGCAGTGACTTATCGAGCGGACCAATGACGCATAGAACAAGTATGAGCAGTCTAGAGTCCTTATTGGTCCTGCTTCCTGCCTAGCCCAGCCAGTTAAGTCCAGAACACCAATCTCAGACTACGCGATATGAATTGTTTATTTCAAACATATTGGGTTCATATACCAACGAGACAGACCACATCGTCTATAAGACGGAAAATAACATTTGTACATGATGTAGCCGAATGTGGCTGTGAGTGTGGGAGGTAGTAATTAATAGACAGGGTATAATTCAAGAATGATATATCGTATAATAATAGTTCAAAGGTCAAAATAAAGCTCATAATAAGAGGGACATGAATATAAATAATTTAATTATTTAACAACAATACGATAAAAATGTACTCACAGTATTGGTTCGTAAATGGATTCCAAAAGTTACCATTCATTATTCTTATCGGGATATAACAGTTGTGTCCGTTGATAAATTCAGACGAACTAGACTTGTATTCTATAGTACTTAAAAATAATCGTCAATAATGAAAAGTGGTTTTATTGAAAAATTCCACAGTACTTGTTAGTATTTACCAATAGAGATTAATACATTTATCCATCAACTATCATTTGATCTGCACTCCTATTGGTAACTAATTTATATAAAAATTTGAAAATTTGTTTTTCCAAATTCACCAACCTCTCATAGTTGAGCTATGAATTTAAAATTATTAAAACTTAATATACTCTATTTGTTTTAAAGCACCAAAATTTAAAAAAAGTATATATTTGATGTTTTACGGTTTGTTAAAGTATGTGATATTCTTGAATATAGGTAAAACCCAACTATAATTCTGAAACACTAGACAGATATTTCACTAGTTTATAGTCGATGAGTATTTAAAGGAAACAGAGTTCGAAGTTCTTGATGACTTCAAACAAATCGCAGTTTTCTAAGTACTAACTTGAACTAGCTGTTCTTAAAGAAATAATTTTTAACAATTCTGAAATCAATAACCATCATTATTAATGTGAGTTGACGTCGCAACAACAATTAGTTTTGTGACATTTGTAAAGTGGTAATAACAACCAATTGACACCTACTTATGTTGGTCAATTCGTTTTATAAAATATTATGTATATACTAATATGTTTACTCACTCTACAGTTTTTTCTTGAGGCACAAAACTGTCAAGTAGAGGCGAATGTGTATTTCAGCGATTTGGCTAGGTTTATTAGCTAGAACAGTCAAACTTATATTGACATTGTAAACTGCATAAATACATTAGCTTATTGACTAATTAGTGTCAGGTATAGCTATGTTCAATCTATCCGAATTTGGTGATCGATCAGATAAATAAACCACAGTGTATTTAAAGTTTTTGATTTATATCTGGTGGACAGTAAAATTCTCATTTGCAATAATTGCTTCGTACGTCCACTAAGCCATATCAGTCAATTCAGTTCCAACAGATGGAAAGTGCCATTTTTTTCACAACTACAATAGAAAAGTCTGTTGAAAGTTTTATCTTCTCTCTTCTTATCTTCACTCAGTTACCATAGTTCAAATATCGTTGTGTACCAATTGATCGGTCTATCATAACATAAACTAGGCGAACTATCGCTGATTTGAGATGATAAATTTAAATTCTAGGTTTTTAGGATTTATAAGGATGTTGCTCTCTCGACATTTCGTTGTATCACGTGTAGTCGAGTAAATTGATATTCACAAAAATAACAATGGATATTCCCACATTCTGATTACACTTCATGTGTATATTCAGTTGAATATGGAAATTCGGAGCAAATCTCTTCCAACTCAATATTCCTTTGTTTGAATAAAAAATCATCGATTTACATACAAAGCATGAAGGATCAGTCAATCACTTAATCAGTCAGTTGGTCAATCAATCAACATGAAGATAATCGTGAAACCAATCTAGTTGTAGGTCGTTAACTGACCAATAATATTTCATTTGATCCTAATGTTATGTACGATAGTTGTTTGTTTACCGGCATAAATGTTACTGGATGTTATTGATTTGTTAAATAGTTGTTTTGACTTTTGTTATACGATGATTGATTTACTTCTAGATAGTGATCAGGCAACATCGACATTGTTTTCAGTTGTATCTTATTAACAAGATATGTCATCAGTAACTCGTCATAATTTTTCTTTTTGGTCATTTAGTTATGGAATTTAGGATTGGAATATCTATTACTACTCAAGAAATAAATCTATTGTTTGATCCTGAGGAAAATGTTTTAAGTGCCTGATGAGTTGATTCGTGTCATAATGAATAATTTTGAGTTGAGTTGTTTCATCGATATGAACTGTGATTATGACTGATTGTTTATTGAAAAAATGTTTAGTGGTATTCGAGAAGTTACCAACTAAATGATGTCCACTTTTTTATATCCTATTCTGCGGTGCCTGAGTTCACAGACTCTTGTAATCATTTCTAACTAATAATTTTTCCGACTATTAGTTCTTGGAGATTGAAGTTACCCGTTTGTATCAGGTAGTGCTCCATTCCAACACATGTTCAGAAAAACAGTAATTTTATTATACAAGGTTTTGAGAAGTAGGTAAGAAACCTTTGACTTGGATTTCACGCTGATTTTGACACTTCAAATAGATGTAGGTTGTTTTGAGACAGCTGATCTTAAATTGTGATATTTTAGCCTACGTTATCCAGCTTTACTCTCTGGGATGCCACCTTCAATGTGTTTGGGAGCGAAGTGACTTCTTATAAGACTTAGATATTTGAAATTAATTACCGCAGAGTATTGACTGATTAATGTATATACATTTATGCCAGGAATGAATTTAATAAACGCTGGTTAGATATGCAATATGAACACAGTCCCATGACTTCGGAGTTATTGACAATGACCTTAACAATTGGACTTTTAGATTTAGTGTTTCCTATAAACTATCTTAAGACAACTAAGCCTAGTTACCAAACATACGTTTGTCTGACGATAGCTGAAAACAAACTGTTCTAAAGACGTGAAATGATTGTTGTACAGTAGCTTAAATTTTATGTAAATGAGATTTTCACACTTGACATTTACAAGAGTAATGATCACTTATACTTTTCCTAGACCATTCATATACTGTGACGAAAAACTTGTCCATAATACACTGATTTCACCCAGTGAATAATAATGTCTAAATTTTTATCACATTAATTTACAATTTATCTGAAATTAAACTGGTCGTATCAGGTTCATTTCGTTTTCCTAATTATCGTATAGGCAAAAACAAATGATTAATTGATAAATCACTAGGCGGTGATCACTTTCTTATATGTCAGGTCGAATCCTGTTGAGCCAGTTGCGATTAGCCACCAATCTAGGTGACTCGATATCGATCAATTGTAAATTCATCTCAATCTGACGGGAGGTAAATCGCGCCCTGGATAGCCAAGTGGTAACGTCTCTAACTGTGAAGTTGGATGACACGGGATCGAATCTGTCAGAGAGCATCAGTTCCCTCAAGATCACAGGTACACCTTGCTGACAAACGCCAAGTAACAGGAAAAAGTTAAACATGGGATAATAGTGTAAGTTTCTATGATAAAGGAATGTGAACACTTATATTTCGTTCTCTCAATATTTCCGCTAATATTAATAAGAAATTATTTTTGGAGAACTTATTATTCAATTTCCATGTATAATAAGTGTTAGCAGGCTAAATATAATGTTAAATGGAGTGATTATTTCTAAAATAATAGCTGACATTTATTTTCGACAGATCTTTTTTGTAATTCATGCAATATCGATGAGCGATTTATTTTTCTTTCAAGAACTGAACACATAAAGTGAACCTTGGCACAGCACAGTCAACCAAAGCATTCAAGATTATATATATTCGGGGTTTACATTACATAATGTAGATAAAGAGTTTAAAATAAATAAAGCGGCATTAGAAATAGTTTAATCTATCCAATTCTAGAATGTGTTACTTTTATTGAGATTAATATATCTCCTCTGAAAGTGATGATATTCAACTGAAATTTAATTGAAACTGTAGTTAGACGTTGATAATCGAATCTATAAACAACATTTTTAATTGAATAAAAGAAAGAAAAGTGAATATGTAGATAATTATCATTATTTATTTATGATTATTATTACACTTTTTTTTCAATAGAAAATGTTAATCAAAATTAAAGGCGTTTCCCAATCATTGGAAATACTGTTGACAATATAAATTGCATACTCTCTTTATTATCATCAATCTCCATATATGATACAATTGTATCAGTGAATATAGGTAGAATGGACTAAATTGAATTCATACAATGAAACACCCAGTAGTCGTTGTCATAGTAGTAGTAGTAGTAATCGTATTTTGTAGTTGACAATTCGATTAGTTATTTTTTAATTAATGAAACAGAAAATAAAATAATTTGTATGAAAACGTGAAAATATTTGACGCAAAATTATAAAATAAGCCGATTAACTTAGAGGATTATTCATATCATTAGTGTTAAATTGTTTAATGTATCATAAATTGCACAACTTGATAGATATCTGTATATACATGCACATAGCAGTAAACAGTGTACATGAAATATCATATTCATTAATAAAGTATCATTAATGATTATCTAATAGTTGGGCTCAATTTACATAATCATTATCGAAACTTGTTGACAATTTGATTAATTACAGAAAAATCAATTTTCCAATATACATTAAACAAATTACATTTTATTTGCAAAACGACAACAATGTAATGAATTGTAATGAATAAACTATTTGATGGGTTTTTTTTGACAGTTACGAATGTTTTATACTAGTTAGGAATATAGTTTTCAATAGAATAGAATTTTCCACGTAACTAGATCAATTTTATTCCATCAACTATAAGTCAACCTGTTAAGTCATACTTTTTCCCTTTAGCTGTCATACAATGAAAGGATGCATAAACACATTGGAATTTCGGTTTCGCAATACCTAGTGCAGCATATATATATATATCAAATAAAACTGACCTCTAAACATTATGACTAATGTCAGGAAACTAAACTAGAGTAAGATAAAACTGATTTAATAATTCGGATTTTATTATAATTAATCCCCCCATGACGTACATATTTTTTCAAGAATATTTATTTTATCACTGTCACGATCACAACAATTTATCCAATCATTCATCGTACAAATGTTAGTTTCTTGATCAAAATTAACCGTTTTTCAACATATTTCAATCACTAAGATAAGTAATAAAAAACATGTTATTTAGTGTAGCGAACCTAGGCGTTAAGCACCGATCAAACTAATAACTTCATATTTAAAAGACTGCACACTTCTAGCCTTTAAGCAAATTCACATTGTAAATTCACTTGGTGTTATTTGCTTGTATCTTCTCATTGTTGTTGAGGACCGCAAATGAACAGTCTCTTATTGACATATGTGCATACTGTACAAATTGCCTCAAAGTTGCTTTAGTTCACAAACATTATAAGAAATGATGAATAGTGGCTAGCAGTGGAATCTAAGACGCACGTTTTGTCCCGTTTGGGACTTATCAGCTGGATGTACCCGCATCTCAGTGTCGATATTTACTCCGGGACTCGAACACAGTATCTTTCGTTTCAAACTCCATCGCATCCCAAATAGGAAGAAACGCACGTCCTGGATTCCACTGTTAGCCACTAGCCATCTCTGCTTATAATTAACATTATATATATATATATATATATATATATATATATATATATATATATATATATATATATATAAACATTTGATTATATAGAAATAAACATACCACAAAATGGGCTACTGTTAATCCACGATTTGTGTGTATTGCAGCTAAATATTTTACCGTTTCTTGTAATTTCTCTTCTTCATTAAAATTTCTCACAATTTTCATGATATTATCCACATAACATATAGCCATTTTAGTAAGATAATCTAAATTCAATGCTTGAGGCAAAGTGACTGATTGAAGTGGTTTGTACATTTTCATATAATGAGGATTTTTTATTAAAAGTCTAATTAAATGAAGAAAAGCATATAAACCGATATATAATATATATACTTTGTGCATTACGTTTAATGTAATATTATTATGAGAATCTTCAACAGAATGTGAAGATAAATACCAGTAAATATAGATAGTAGCTGATCACTCCTATAAAATATAAGTTTTACTTTCTATCTTCAGTTTTCTTGCTAGTTATGTACACAAACACTAATAAAATTGAACGAAAAACACTTTCGATAATCAATTATTATAATTAAGTTTTTTATTCTCTTCAGGATTGCGCACTGCTGAAGAGTCCCGTACTAGGACAAAACGGCCGTCCAGTGCTTTCATGTTCAAGAAACATTTATTATAAAGTTAATTTTATAATATTAAATTATGAATAGAAAAATGAATATTTGGAATTTTTAATAAATTTTGATGATATCACTTTACAATCAAAACTTAATTTTATTTATAGTAGGTACATTCAATGTCCTACATATCATATGAAAATTTTTTAACATACTACTTATACTACTCAGAGACGTGTTTGATTATTATAAATATGTAATAGGATAAAAGTTTTAGGATATTTTATTTACTGGATTAAATCAACTAAATATTAAAACATTTCTTAGTAATTTTTGAAGTAAATTACTCTACACCAAAAAATATCTATGTAACCAACAACACTATTTTGTGTAAATTCAACCTGAATATAGTTGGATAATTCCAATCTTAACTATAAATCAAATTTCATGGAATAATTTTCGTTTAAAGACTATAACAAGAGTCCAATCCGTATCGGATAGAAACAGTTATACGCCTCAAACAATGAATGAAGCGTTGGGCAAATCATGGATTGATTTAAATTATATTAAAATCGTTGGATGTCGGCTCAATGATTTAGAAGTTAAACGTTCATGTGCGAGACCAAAACTCCTGGGATCGAGTCGCCCATGTAAGATTGTGAATGAGCACTGTTGTGGAGTTTCATACTAGGATGAAACGAACATCCAATACTTTTAGATTCTCAATGGTGGTCTATTAAAATAAATAAATAATTCAGATTTTCAAATACAAACCAAAATAAATATATAGCTTTCTCTTCATTTTAATACTGAAAATATTTTTGAATAAAAAATGAATTAATGAAAAGACTAGAAAAATTAGAATAAAGTTAATATCCATCCAATCACCAACGGTCTGATATTCTATGAATCGACGTATGAGCTCAGATAATTCAAAATTCATTTTTACTTATCAAGTTTCTATACTAAATCTATCATAATAATGAGAAATATGCAAATGTTTGCACTGCTTCATGTAATTTGGTCAATTTGGCTTTCATGACAAAACTAAAACTAAATTAAATATAATAGAACTATTGATAGACTAGATTTTATTTATGAAGATTACCATTGGTGATGAAAGAAAACCAAGATTGAAGTTCGATTCAGATTAGAAGTTTTCAAATTATTTGTTTAGTTAACGATTACGTCTTATGATTAAAATGGTGTAAGAGTTTAACAATAACACAGTTATAACATCGCTTCATGTACTTAGACTTCGACAACCAAACAAAATCTTTAAATAATATACAAAATCAAGTGAATAAACCTTTATTGAGTTACTAAATTCAATAAATTTATGATGCAGATGTCATTCGTTCGTGAAAAAAACATCTTTCAGCCTAATAAGTTGGAATTAGTTTTCATATTATTCAAAATTTTCACCTCATAATGAGAATCATCATGCAAAACTGAAAACTACTAAAGAAATCAAAAAAATCTCCAATCGTCTTAAGTATCAGTGATGAGATGATAAAGATCAAAATTATGTAAAATGAATTAAAATTTTGTCAGTAATTTTGATATGCATTATTTTCTTTGAATATGTTCTTTACAACTGAATATCTTCCAAAACACATGGAAACTTAATTGAATGTAACATAGAGATGAAATAGATCGGAAAATTAGAACCAACTTGTTTTTTATCTAAAGTAAATTGATATCACTAAAGAAAAAGTCAAATCTCCACTATACATATGACAGTTACAGATAGATTATAATAAACCAGTGAATTTTCTCTACTGGGTCTTTAATTACTTTTAATTATCAAATTTGGTTTAAAGATTACATTCTAGAATATAACTGACAAAATGTCAGTTTATCATTGATGGCTAGATATGTCGTCAATCAAAACTTAATAACTCATTAGTGTAACTATACATCATACATTTGTTATAAGTCTTAACGTCATTTATGATTTTTTTAAAATATGAGTCTTGTTTCTGTCATCCTCTCTCTCACACTCTTCAACATACCGTACGTAATAATTTTGCAGATACTGGTAATTAACACTTTTCAGAAATGTAATTAACTCTGGAAATGAACCAAACAAATAGCTAATTACATAATAGATAGATTATTTCGGTCAATATTTAATGTCGATTTCTAATAAATACAGTTGTAATGGACGAGAAGAGAAGTGAGGATAATCGAATATATTTGAACACAAAATTACAGACCGTCTTAGTAAAATCCGAGAACCATACAGTAAATACTTCATTTGAAAAAATGTCAATCAATTGTCTCAAACTTGACTGTTCCTTCATATCCATAGTAATCATTCTCTGTATTCGTTCACTTTTCTTCGACCTTTTTAACCTTTTTACTTTCAGTTATTTCTCTTCCAATTGATGGTATATACTACTTATATCTATCAACATCAACAGCACACACTACACTATCAGATATTCAATTAAGTATGTCATAAAACTAAGAAATTTTTTTTGGAATTTACATTATTTTAATAAAATTAAATCTTGTACACAAAATGTGCTAATTTTTTATTGATCCATAGAGAAAATATTTTGTTTTGAGAAAAAAAACAATAAAACAGAAAAAAATTGATCTAAAATAATTGATGAACAAAACAAAAAGAATTTTATAATTATCGTCAGTGAAAACACCACCACTACTACTGTTACGACTACTACTACTACTACTACTACTACTACTACTAATGATAATAATAATAATCATACTAAATAACTTGCAATCATAAATGGATTGGAATTCGAAACTAACAGTTTTAGTTATAAATAAGCATCATGTGTTGGCATAAAGAAAAAGAAAGATGTTAGTTTAATGTCAATAATTATATGATTTTAATCAAATATATCAAAAATACACACTTCATAATGTTTACACTGTAAGTTGTATCTGTTTTGTTTTTCTTTAGTTTAAAAGAAAAATAAAGTATGTTAAATAAAATGCTTGATGATAGTTGTCAATAATGTTTAATAATGAGTTTAAACAATAGAAATATAAAGTAATTGCTAAGTGATTAAATCTATCAATTATAGAAAATATACATGGTTATATTGGAAAGAAAAATTCCAGGACTGATAAGTTTTTCAGTTATAAGTGATAGATTATCTAACGAAAGTTTATTCAACTGGATTTTTTTTGTATATCGAATAATATTCTAGTTTTTGTTCTTCGACTATTCCTACTTATCTCATTTATCTAGTTATTTGTCGTCTAGAAATAGAATCCATATAGATGCTGATGATCAAGGTGTTTCATTGAAATAAATGAATAAATATTTATATTAAACTACTTGTCAATGTATTCACTACATCATTTACCTTAAAAACGACCATGTATTTCCTAAGTTAGTTGAGCTTTGAGTATAACATGTTAAGTTTTATGATCAAATAACCATCCACAATTATTAGTAGCATTACTCAATGAATAATTATGTCGTGGTCTGTTGATTGAATCATCTAATTTATATTTTTTTATTTCGAGGATTTCCATTTTCCAGTCATTGATATTCAAGACTGAATTGAGTAGTTTCTGTTAGCGCAATGAGTTTCTTTGAATAGATGTATCAATATTGCTTACATTTGAAAATCGATTAGATTTTTCAGACAATGGATAATAATAGATTCAGGATACATGCTATTCGTTGTTAGAAACTCGATAACTTTAAAGCCCTGTAAACCATTATCAAGATTCCTATGAATAATAATACATATACCAGACTCGTTATATAATTAGTGACCATAATAATGATTAAATAGCATAAGTAAAAACATTGTAACTTTTTCAATTATAATTACTGAGTTCAAGTTGTATTGGTTCCACCAACAGTAGAATGTAATTATATACAGTGAGTTCAAATTTAGACAAAATATTCGTCCTGCTTCCATTATCAACCACTATCAAGCTTGTCAATAAAATAATCCAGAAGAATAAATATTAATTCATTTACGCAAAAACTAAATTCACGAGTACTATTGTCAGTAGTAAGAACAGTAGTATAATTCATTAGGCTTATAAGTTATAAATACAGACATAGAAAGAATGAACAACAATTGGACAGAACTAGAAAAGAAGGCCCAGGACAGATTGGGTTGGAGAATGCTGGTTGGCAGCCTCATTCAATCCATATAAAAAAATATATTAGCGATTTTATGATCATATGTAGTACTTAACCAATATTTATTTTTTCAATCATTTTAGTTAAACATTGTAGTGTCGGTTACTATGTTAAGCCCACATAACTTATTTTAGCTTCTGGACAGATCAATTTACCCATCACCTTGAGTCCCGTTTTGACCTTGTTAATTATTCACTTATCAACTCTGTTTTTATGTGTGTGTGCATATTATCCTACTCATCACATGTCTATAGTCTATTTTTGTGTGACTATAAATATTGATTAACGCTTGATTAAATCGAGTTGGAGCACACGCCTTATCCACTGCACGTCATTTCAATTTACTCGTTTCTCTTCGCTTCCTTTGCTTCATCCCTCTGATTGTCTGTCCAGATCAATGATTGTACAAAATACACGTATTCAAAATCCTTTCTTGTATTTGACTTATTTTAATTCCATTATTTACCAACACGGATTAAGTCAGTAATTTTATACGAGGATTGACGATATGTACATTTCAATAACAATCAATCATACAATTGACCTGGAGTCATATTTTGGACCTTTAAAGTG